TGCCCTTTGTTTGGATGAAGGGAGGGGCAGAGTGAATTATCTGTGCTATTGTAACAGTCAATGGAATTTTCTTAGAAGAACTGAAAAGTGTAGATACACATGACGTTCACCCATGAGCTCTTATTTTTAAATAATCGTTTAAAGAAATTACCCGGTAACTTAAAAGTTCTTTCTACAGTGATGAGTAACTTCGGTTCTCAGCTCAAATGGCAATCCGATTAACAGAGGAAACCATGGAAGCTAAAGCTGATACGCGCAAGATCCTATCGATAGTTGATAAGAAACAGGGGATGGGGATAGGGAGGAGTAATATCCTAGATTAAATGAACAGAGGAAGAAAGCTGTTACTCAGTAACTACTTCAGCATTTATTGTGCTTCTCGCTTATCAGGTCAATCCCCCCACTCCACGAAATTGCATTGACTATGAAAATAATTTTCATAATTAATGCAATTTCGTGAAGTGGAGGGATTGATTTGATAAGTGAAAAGCACATTAAATGCTGCAGAAAGTGTAAGAAACACATGTCATGACACGTTTGGATTCTCCTTTAAGTGTCAGGGTTATTAACAACTCCGGCTCCCAGGCCCCGCTCGACCTTCCACGGAGGGCGCATCTTCACATCAGCTACGACCAGAGGGAGGCCTCGCACTACTGCAGACGATGCAGAGGCCATTAACGATAATATCGAAGATATCAAGTCTATGGAATCGGCAGCGAATAACAATCATGCTAACCGGGAGAAAATTATGATGAGAAGAGCTGCCAATGAAAACGTCTTAAAGCACCGTGGTAGTGATAAAAAACTTCCATCAAACTTTAAGTTGAAATCGCTCTTAAAGCAAGCCGTCAAGCGTGGACGAGATTTTGCGGCTTCTCAGGAAGCACCTGGTACAGGTAAGATAAAATCGATGATTAGTAAGAAACTGGAAATACAACTTCTGCCGATGAAAGTATAAGTGAATCGATCTTTTCAAAATTGCACATTGTGCCTTTTGTTTGGATGAAGAGAGGGATAGAGTGAATTATCTGTGCTATTGTAACAGTCAAAGGAATTTTGTAAGAAAAACTGAAAAGTTTAAGAAAACATGACGTGTCACCCATGAGCTCTTATTTTTAGACTGAAGTTAAATAATCGTAGGGAAATTATTGGCCAACTTAAAAGTTCTTTCTACGGTGATAAAGTAACTTCGGGTCTCAGCTCAAATAGCAATCAGATTAACAGAGGAAACCACATCAGAATCGTGTTTTACTTCATTTTTGTGTGTGTTCTGCTCGCAAAGTTGTCGCATATATCTCTGCATCAGAACGCTCAGGTTTTAATTTCAAAGTCAATACAAAAGAAATTTTGTTTCCGATGAATGGCTTTGCTGTAACTGCTCCGGCTTCTCTGGAAGCTAAAGCTGATAAGATCTTACCGATAATTAATAAGAAACAGGGAAACCAGCCTCAATGCAAATGAAAGGGCACCGACCTTAGACTAAGCAGTCAGAGATCACTTTAAGTTCAGGTTCATCTCAACCTAATATCAAATGTTGGTTGTCTAAGTTCAATCCTGAGAAATCTTAAATTTCTCGTTCAAATAACAAGATATTCCCAAAGACGGCACCCAAGGGGAAACCAGACAGAAATCGTTTGGTCGAGATAAGAAGGAATCACACCTACCAGATGATTATCCTAAGACAGATGGTAACAAACACAAACCGCGAGGCACATCTACCCTACAAGACACGAAGAAAAACATCAAGCCCACAAATATGGCATCTGCTGATTCCCGATGGAGGTCAGCCATGGATTATGAACGCAAGTCTCACGATGAAAATAAAAAACCCAAAAGAAAAAAGAAAAAAGAAGGAGAAGTGGAATCGCAATCTGAGACTAAAGATCCTGCGGACGATGGGTCCTCGATCATTGTCGGAGGACTTATAGGAGGAATGTTTCTGTTTATGGCGATTGGGACTGTGTTTTATCGCATTTGGTAAGCAATCTTTTTCATCTGCCACCAATTAGACCACATTACAGTCAAAAATTATAACAAAGAAGATGCTCACTTAAAATATGCTTAAACATTATTTTAAGCCAGTCAATCCAGACTTGTGGTTGGTTTATGTAAAGTCTGTCAGTGAACTGGAATATTCATCTCAGCTTGTTTTCTAGCGCTTTTGAAAGTGATTTTCGGTCGAAACTTTTACAGGAGAAATTGTAGGAAGAGAGCCGGACGAGATCGAGGTGATCTTGAACGAGGTCGGTTATCAGCCTCGAACCAGGCCATCGCGGAGGACGGAGATGAAGATATCATCTTTGAAAGAAAACCTAGAGAAAGGAAAGAGAAAAACAAGAAGGAAGATGAAGGAGGTAAACCGAATGTTAGTCTTAAATGAAAAGGCCTGGAAATTCAGGATGATAAAGAAAGTGAAAAAGACAACGGAAAACAAACAGCAAACAAAAAAATCACACTCTTTACATCAGATGTGGGCAAGATAATTTCATCTTTTTACCATGGGGTTTGTTCGCAGATTATAAGGAAACTGAGTAAAACCAAAGCTCATTTTTACCGCCAAATTCGACTTTACTCGCCATGTCAGGAATCTTTTCACAGACAATTTCAAAGAAATAGGTAAGAATTTCTTGAACACAGCCTATGGGTATGTGTTTTCTTTGGTGTACAAACAGCTGAAATCAGAGTGGTAAAGTCAAGTGTAGCGAAGCGATATGAAATGAAGTGAAGTGAACATAAGTGATTTGAAGTAAAGCAAAACCAAGCACATCTGAGAAAGTCTCTCATCTAAATTAAATAGTATTAACATAGACTTTGCTCAGTGTTTAACTCCTTATTCTTACCACAGAACCCCCAGATAAAGACATAGGATTGAATTTGGAAGTCTCTCCGCCGCAATCTCCGCCGCCAAAAGGTATACTTAAAAGTAAGAAAAAAAAAGAAGTAAAGCAAAGCTCGATAAATTCAATTTTAGATCTAAAACAAACATTAGCAATAACTTCTTGTTTGATTGAAACGACTAGAATTGTCTATTTTTTCCACAGATACTCACGGCCGAGAAGTACGAGTAAATATGGAGCTCTCCGATTCTTCGCAACCGGCCTCGTTATCAACCTTGTCTGCACCATCACTGGGCTCTTCCATCGGTACGCCGCACTCCACCTCAGCGAGTGGCTGTTCTGTGGAATATATAACCCTCCTCGACTCTCGTAAGGATTCTGAACTGAAGCCTGGGATGTCTCAATCCTCTGGATCTTCCTCATCAAGTGATGCAAAGATTACAGCTGAAACAGAAAGAGACCTGGCGGCTCCACCTCAATCGTCCACCATTTCAGGTAAAATAATCTGATCAAAGCTAAATTCCAGAATAATGGATGAATGATGGGCAAGAAACTACATTTTAAAAAGAACCTCATACAATTTCTTTTGTTTTATTTCTACTATTTATGATATAGCGGCCTCTCGCCAACTGAGAAACATCGTTACAATGGAAACAGGTGGCTCTAACTCCTCCTCTGAGTCGTGCAAGACACCAGTAGCTGCCAGCGATGACGTCATCATCACAATGGACGATGACGACGATTGCAAGGTGCCGTTGTTGTCTTCAGAAAATGAGGGCTCATCTGCTGAAGTGATCTACGTTAGGAACGATTTGACGACAGAAGGAAATGAGGACGATGATAAAGAGCGGTCAGGTGATTAAAATATAACGAGAACGCTTCATAAAAAGGCGCAGCTTGACCAGTAGAACTTTGAATTTCGAAATCCGAAAGTCTGATGTTTGAATTTTTTTAGGAGACTAAGAGTCTTTTCGTTGTCTTTCGTTCGCAACAAAACATCATGCTTTATACTAACCGTGTGTCTCCACCTTATCCGACGGATTTAGGCAGTGTCTAAATCCGTCGAATAAAATGGAGGGCTTGGCACACGGAACGGTAAGAACAAAATACGGTAATTAAATTAAGACAGATGCTTTAGGTGGGTGTTACAATGGACTCCCGATAATGAGGTGGTAAGTCGTCTGACGTGAAATAATTCATTTAGGAAAGTCTCTGATTGGTGAACACAAAGCTTCAGAGGATCGCCGATCAATCACACATCTGACGTCAGGTCAAAACTCGGACGGTTTGCATAGAGACCTCAACAAGGATCGGTCCCAGATCTTGGTCAAGAATAAACTGGCTCTCAACAGAAACAGGGAGAAGAGAAGAGTGATCAAGGAGCGAACAAAGATGACAGTGAAATCCTTGGTGGAGAGTGTTTTACTGGCAAAGGTAATCAAATAAACTTTTGGAATGTATCCAAAGTGTGTACCAGATGTATCCAAAATGGTGGTGATATATGAAGCCGTTTTTTTTCTTTCGAAGGGGGGTTGGGGGTATCTCTTGAAAGAGTATTCGAAGAAGGGGGGCAGGAACAGTGAAAGTTAGATGGAAGAGAATTACGACAAAAGTTGCAACGAACTCTCGTAATGTCCATTTGCAACCTATGGAGCAGGTGTAATCCTTTTGTCGTTTTCCAACGGGGTTTAGCCAAACACGTGGTGAGCGCGAAGGGTAGTCACGCGCGGAAAAGGATCCCTAATCTATTCGCACGTTTTCTTTAACTCTTGCTTCTTTTGCAAGTCAGACTTTATTTTCTTTCTCCGCTCCCACAAAACCTTTCTACATAGAGGCCTGCTAAATTTCCTGTTATTCATGTTTGTTTGGTTTTTTTGTTGTTGTTGTTTTTAGGCAATTATATTGGATGAGACAGTGGACAAAGGACGTGACTTGAAGTGTATCAAGCGTCGACGCATAATCCGTAAAGGTCTCTCACTGCGATTTCACACACCTTTATCTGAGGGTGTACCTCTGGCACAGTCAGTCATTCTACCACGACCTGTTGATCCAAGGGAAGAGAAAAGAGACAAGGAAAGACTTAAAGTTATTGAGGAATTGTCAAGGGAACATGTCAACCCTTCATTTGGGGACGTGATCCAGATTGTGGCCTCAATCCTTCGCTCGGTCAAGGTTAGGAGAGGATTGGAAAAACAAAATGATTACAAAAGAAATGTAAGTATTCTGGAAAAACAAAACAGATCGGTGAAAAAATATTCACTCAGAATCGATTTCAATTTATGATGATATTTTTCTGAATCTTAACAAATAGTTGTTTTAAGCAATATTACATTTTCATTTTCACGCCTCTTGGTCCCTACATCAACGCCCAGTTGAATCTCGTGGGCCTTTTGCAACAATAAAATTTTTATTTAACCCGGTCAGTAGAGCCCTCGTTACCGGAATCGTTACTATGGTGATGTTGATGATTACGATGACGATGACAGTGATGGTGAATATTACTAAACAGTCTGACAATCAACTCAAGTTTACCCTGGGCTCCTACAATGCCTTATTGTGGTAATTTCCAAAACCACTTTCCTATTTAGGATTTATTTTGTTATCCTCCTTTATTTTAACTGAAATATCTTTGTTTTACTCAGTTGATTGCCTTCGACGCAGACACCTTTGCTATGAGGAATAAGAAGCCTTCCACTTTTGAAATGGATATACAGTTTGTCCGGAACGTGATCTGTGGTCGGTCTTCACTTGACCATGACGAAAATCCCCTAACGGGATGTGAGTGCTCCTACTGTAAAAAGCAACGGAGTAAAACAGGGGGACAACATTACTCCAATGTACCAAAGTAAGGATGTTTTCCTCTTGAAGTTAGGAATTGTATGAGGAGAACGAAAGAAATTTGCTCTTAGCTTCTTTAGTTGTGAAAGCTATGCCGAAAGGACAATTTAAGGGAAACAAAATTTTAGGCCACGAAAGGAAAATCAGAAAGAAAGTATAAAAACGGTTTGAGATTACAAAGAGTCATTGAACCGTTCGAGAATTGTGCTTTAAATGTGTTTCTCGGTCACAGTAAAACTTGTTATTTGAGTCAAGGTTATTGGAGTCAAAAATGCTAGTTAGTATAGCTTCCAATTGTTAAAGTAGATCACTGAGGAGGAATAAGAACGGCTAAGCTTCCAGGCCGATTTAAAATGGCGGCGTCTATGATCTAACTCTCCTTCAGCTAACTCCCTTGAAATTGCATTATCACTTCAGGAACTGTACCACAACTTTAGTCGAAACACATCCGTAGGCGAAATCTACTTACAGTTGTGTAGAATGCGTAAGCATAGGCACAGTTTTTGAAGTTTATCCCTTAGCATTTCGATTTGGTGAAGTTCCATTGTAAATAACTCTAGCATTTGCTTATTCGCGGAATACGTGTTTTATGTTCGTTCTTCTTTTTTTAGGGATATCCCCGCAACGGACGATACCTTCGTAATTAATGGAAAAGTCTACACAGTTTTTGTTCCCAAACAATCTTTTTCCGGAAGTGCAGGCCCTAAAACAAATACTGGGTCAGATAATGCACGAAATTAATAAAGTAACTTATCTCAGTTTCGTATCAGTCTATAAGTTTGCATCCTAACGAGAGAAAAATAAGAAAATTCACTTTGTCTAATGCAAAGCGCATGAAAATCTTGACCTCGAAGGCTCAGTCAGTTTTTGCTTGTTATCTTCTTGATTTGCGTTATGTGAACTCGTGCCAGCGAGCATGTTCACATAAATCAATTTTCAATTTCGTTTCGGAAGAAATACGGTATTGCATTGGTTTTACCGTTTTCAAACAATGCTTCTCGTTTTTCGTGCTCTTTTTTTTGACTCTCAGTACGTTTCATTCAATTGTTAACTCTTGTTTTTATCGTTTTGTAATGTACTGATTTAAACTCATTAAAGTTTGTTCCAAACATTGAAGACGAATGATCTTTACAACGGAAAAATTGTGAAATGGTAGCTTGGTTTTGTTTTTTTTTGTGTGTGTGCTACTACCAGTAGTTCATAACGTTTTGTAACATGCAGATGTGAACATTGAAGTCTGGTACAAACATTATTATATCTCTCAGTCAGTAGGCACATATGATCGGTCAAATTAGCGGGCCGTATTTCACTGAACGGATCGCTAAATTCAAGAGTTTGTTTCAAATTGAATGTACCCCTCTATAGGACCGAGAGATATAAAAATAATTGCTCTCAAAACTTTCCGCGTACATCCATATCTCGATACAAGAACACTATCATGTAGAGACCAAAATATGTCAACTATTGTGGTCTACTTTCAAATGATAGTAGGATATTAATGTAAGACTTGCTACTGAAAAATTCTGCTTTCACATCTTGCTTTTTCCGTATTATTTCGTAATACAGAATGTCACGAAGCTTTGATAGGAGAAACATCACCAAATACGTCAATATATGACTTAAAATTCGATTTCAAATTTGGAATAAACTTGTGACAGCAGCCAGAAAGCTACAGGGTAACGGCACGCACGCCGGCCGAATTAAGTGTCTCGCCAAAGCATTTCCTGCTGGTACTTGGTGTTCGCGCGTTAATTATATTTAATCACCGCAAAGAGAGAAAAGAAAAGAAAACTGTAAAACTTGAGAATACTTCTTCTAAATTAACACGAGCTACTCGGGTCACTATAGCAGGTATAACTCACGATGCTGTTCTTGACAAAAATAAACTAACCATATAACATGCTATAATCTCAAATCTTTGATTGCTGATCTAGGCGATGAATTTCGTGAACTTTGGCTCTAAATACGCGACTTTGCTAATACTGCGTCCAAATGAATACTGGGATTGGCTAACCCTGTACCAGGTCCCTCAAGGAGCATGTTGATTCGCGCGGCCCCGATCTCTGTTGCTGTTAGATGAGATTTAGAGCCAAAAAATCTTGCAACATTTTTATGTTTATGAAGTATGATCAAATCTCAGTTAAACAGCCGTTGCGATGAACTTTATCAAAAAGTGCTTCATGGAGGCATGTTTCTGTCTGACGTTTATGTATTAAAGAAAATCGCCCAAGTTTGGGGAGTGTTTCTTGAAAAGTAAAACTTTCAAGAGTTTCGGTGCGTGTCCTTTATTTGAAAAAAAAGCATTTTGAAAAATAAGAGAGATACCTGAACGTTTTGTGTCACAAGACCAAAAAAGGAAAAATAAAATTTGCTGTACAAAGAACGCTTTAATGTAGCCTTGTTTCGTTTTGATTGCGTCATTATCAAATATCCTTTTTTGGCAAACCGCACAAAGAGTTATTTTAGTTCAGTTTTCTTTACGTCATAGAAGTAGTTTAGTTTTAAGGAGTTGTCCCTGGAGCAAAGAGGAGTCTTCTAGGAGTCTTTCGGAGTTTTTTTTTTACAACTTGGAGTTTTCTCATCCCCGGAGCCAAGATCAGACGTAAGTCACGATCGTTAGTTGTGTTTTCTGTCGTCAGATTTGTAGTTTAACTCGTTTCCTTAGCTTAGACAGATCGTGCATTCCTTTTAGTTTTCACCGCAAGTGTTGTAACAAGTCGACTGGCCTGATTACATGATTTAGTCCAATAAACGTGTGTAAGAGTCTGCTGTCCGTCCAGTACTTCACTGTGGTTGACTTGGCGGACCCAATTACGCTGCACCCCGTGTCTGCTGTGCTGGGAACGCGACAGGAATATTCTCTAATAATGATTTGGAATGTGACACGGTTTTATGCTACTCTGGTTTAATTTTCTGGTTTGAATGTAACCGAAATAGTTACAATTCATAGACCCAACGTTTCGACACTCTTGTCTATTGCCTTCATCAGGGGTTATCTAATCGTTGCAACAAGAGGTCCTTTTATACCATCACTAATGAGCTACCTTTTTTTTGACGAGGTGTAAATAGGCGTCAGGAAGTAAGCCGCCATCATCACGACTTAAAGGAGCGTGGGCGGAGTTCATATGCCAGGCTTTCAAACAAAGGCGCTGGTGGTAACGCCGATTAGTGGTGATAATTTTAGAATTATCCCGCCCAATTGTATGGTTAGTCAGGCAATTGTGCTCCGATAAAGCTGAATTTTCGTTTTTGACAAAGAAAACCGCTTTTTGATGCTCTTTCGAACGTGTACCAAACTGACGTTTGGTCTGTCCGATATATTCGTTGAAACATTGCTCAAATTCCTGTGAAAGAAGGTGCAGCATTCGGAATCTGGATGATATACACACGATTTGAGGTATATGTTTGTAGTTACGTCGAATTGTCCTCCATGAAGGTTGATCAATTTTTTTAAAAGATGACAACCAGAGACGAGATTTCTGTTCGGGATATTGCTTATAACATAACATTCTTTCAAAGCCTCGCACGTTTCATTTGTCTGAAACATTTGTTGTTGAGAACATTAGATGTAAACATCGCCAAATTATGCAATATCAGATTTTTGAGCTTTTTCGCGAATTGCCCCTATAAAAAGTAGAGGCAGGCCCGCAGAGATTTTTACATATTTAAAAACTAGAATATTATAACCAGCTAGGTGGGTAGTTCCAGAATTGGTGTACTTTTGGAGAAATTCAGATAAATGTTTTCCCTGTTTTACCCGACAACAAAAATGACCGAAACTGTACCGAGATTAATAATCTGTTGGTGTGTTCACATTCACTCCAAGGGAAAATTGAATAAATAAAAGTGAAGACGAATGATGTCCCTATGTATGGTAGAAGTGCCACTTTGTAATGTTGTATTTAGCTTGCGACGTTTTTGTATGAAAATGAGACCCTCGGCCTCAAACAGGCAGCCGTCGTTGCCATGGCAACAAGAGTGCTGCGACCTTTTAAAAGGGCGTTTTTGTGCATCCCACCTGAGCGCCTAACTGCATGCAAAATTTGAAGGGGGTTGAAAATTTTCATTTCCCAAGATGTTTGATCTTACAGAGACTTGTTCTTAAATCTTTAAACCAGAGAAGCATCAAACCATGTCTAATTGTCCACCTGGTTGCCATGTGAACTTTAATATAGTTTGATTTGGAATGTATTTTCACACCTAAATATTTAAATTTATCGCAATTTATTGTTTGCCCTAATGTCTGACGTCTTCATGAAAGCCATTAAAGTAAGCTTTCTTTCCGTTGATGAATGGAAATATCTCAAGTTTTGCCACACCTGCCAATTGCCTGCGGCTCAAACTTACGGCTGGTTTCTTTGCCAGATTTAAGAAAAAGTATAAAGTACAAACCAGTCGGCTACAAATCTAACAAACTCTTATAATATCCGTAGACTAGAAGAAAAAAAAACTTGAGTAAGTAAAATAACCATTTGTATTCACTGGAAAGTTCTGTCTGTAGAAGCAGTCAATGATTATTTTACCGAAGTGGAGGTGAATAGTGGCGGAGATTGTCTCTATCATTATCACCGACACTCCGGTAAACACTTGTTTTAGTATATGCCTAAAAAAAACCAGTCTTTTATTTCAGCCAGTAAACTGAAAAACTTCGGAAATTAAACTCTTGACGTGAGATTTGCCTCTACGGCTGAATTCTGGTGAGTGGTACTTGCTAACCACTCGGAAATTAGCCAATCAACGCGCACGAAAAGCATTATTCACCTGTGTGGGAAAAACTAAAATGAATTACGTTCATGACTACAGCTTTATAAGATGTTTTAAATGAGAATCGCAGTTGTTCAAAACATTATGAGCTCTCGTCGTGTTTCATTGTCGAACATTTAGAAGCCCTTTGTTTCGGTGACAATTAATGTGAAATGTTTTGAAAATTTTAATTTTTGAAATAAATAATGAAAGGTGTCGACTTCAGCTCCTTTTTAGCGAAAAGAAATCGATATTTTGAGCCTAATTCGGAAATTTAAGTACGTATTCTTTATTTTTAGAAGTAACGAATAAAAGATATATGCATAAACGTGCTTGAAATTAAAAGTCTGGGATTTACTATAGCCTGTGTTATTTGGTTTTAATAATAAATAGTTCTTTTCTTAGAGAGTAGATTACTTCAGGATATAATTCGAATATCTAAATGTCTTACTGATGAATTTTGGTCCGCAAATTTTGGAAAAATAGACTAAGCAAATTAAGGTTACTGTATAAAACATGGTGTTCTTCAAAGACATCTCTTCATGCACGCCACCTTTACAAAGACCAAGCAAAAGTCTACATAAATGCAAAGCTAGATATTCATAATAATATGAAAAGTTTTCGATCTTGTATCAGTTTTGTTTTTAATGACCTTTGCAGTTCTTAGAATGCACATTGTACTGTCGTGCTTATATTATTGAAGTACCAGCTGCCGTGTTACAACAGAAATCAAAACGCACCACATCTCGTAACTTAAAAGACATTGAGTGATATTATCAAGTAACAGGATTCATGCACCAATTGCCTAAAGAAACACAGGTGAACTTGAGTTTTTAAAAGACTCACCGAGGACAGACAAGGCTGAAACCTTTATGAAGAAATACTTGTGAACAATTGTTCAAATTTTGCTGTTGGACGGCCTCATTCTTTTTCTCCTGTTTTTAGCGTCTACTTTCTGCCTTCGAGGCATAATTCAGAAGATAATTTCTAATCGATACGAGGCAAATGCGCGCAAAATTAAATAAGAAAAAAATATATTTATTAATAGGTAGCCCTTTCATGCAGCGTTCGTCTTGGGAAAATTATATTTCCGTTCGAAAGACTGTCTATTCATTGTATTTAAATGAAATTGACATATCCCACAGCCTGGACAGCTAGCCTCCTTCTCTATTCCATGATGTTCTCTTGGTATTTATCAAAACTTTTCCTCTCAATTTTTTAATTTTTACAGATAAATGAAAATGTTGTGAAT